TGGACTTAAATACACAGTCATTACTGCAGAGCCATAAATGTGGGGTGCCCACTCTTCTGTAAATAAACCCCTACCCTATGCTCTGTTTAAAAAAATAATAAAATATTAAAAAATTAAAAATAAACTAAAAAATTAGTGTATTGCCAAGGATTTAAGTGGTAAGATCCAAAGCTGGTTATTATCTCTACGTCTGACTAATAACACCTCAATAAAGCTTGGGAGAGAGAATAAATTATGACTTGATGAAAACACGGTACTTGAACTGAGCCTTCTAGCAGGAGAGGAGGAAGGGATGTCGCATTAGGGAAAACACTCGAATCATGAGCTCTTCAAATGTCCCAAAAGTTAGGTAATAAAAGGCTTTCTTTTAAAGGGGAAAATAAACTTAGAAAGAACTGTGTATGAGGATGTACGGCGAGTTGATAGGGGACAATGTTTTACCTGGGGCCAGTCTATTCTATGGGACCATCGAAGCTATCTGCTGGCTTTAGTGTAAGAATGGGCCAAAGTTCAAGAGTCTGGAAAAAGAAAGAAGCTACCTTAAACTGCCTGGAAAACATTTTTCTCCTGTTGATCAGAGGGAACAAGCAGTTCAGGTAATCATTTATGAGACAAAGAACAGGAATTTGAAGGGCCTGGGGCCTGGCTTTGTCATATGTAACCAAGGGACTCATCCCCTGACTCTCATCCAAGTCTTAAGGGGAAGGAAGCTTCTTTTTGGAAAGCTGGTTTCTGAAACATAAAGGGCTGTGTATGTTCCTAACCCTCAGTGTTTCCAGGATCACATGGCTCAGGTAAAATTCAACATTGGCACCATTCCTCTGGAACGTTTTTTTGTTGAGGGAAGAATTGGAGAGGAAGCTATTTCCCTACTAGTGAGAACAGAAGCCTGAACAGTGGAGCACTCAGTATCCCAGAGGTGAGTGTGAGTTCTTGACATGACACTGGCTGTGATACAGATGGCTGAGTGGTAGCTGCAAGGAAACTCAGTGTGTTGGGAACCCACGAGTAAATGTGGGATTCCCCAGCAGTACTATGTACCCTATGTAACTGTCGTCTCATCTGGGGAAGCTTGATTTAACAAACACTTCATAGTCTAGTTTTTGTTTTTGTTGTTGTTTTGGTTTTGATTTCTTGGGGTTTGTTTGTTTGGGGGTGGAGGACACAGATTTGGAGGACAGGTTCTAGCTAGGCAGTCCAGGCTGGTCTAGGACACATGATCCTCCTTCCTCAACCTTTCAAGGGTTGTGATTGCCAGGCTGAGCTACCACACCTGCAATGGTTTGTTCTTATTAAGTAGGGAGTATGATCTGTGCTATTCATGTGCAGCACTGGAAAAAGCTGCAGTTACATGCTGGGGATGTAGCTTCACGGTAGTGCAAATGGCTAGGGTGCATGGAGCCTGAGTTCTACCCTCAGTCCGGCATATAAATAAAGAAATGGGATGTGGGGAAGGGGGAACAAGTCTAAAGATACCTTGATTTTTAAATTATTTTCTGCTTTTAACAATTCTATTAAAACATTGTAGAAATGCCTATGCTTTTTGTTTATATGTTTTGATTTGGGGTTTTTGACACAGTTTCACACTGTAACTCAAGCTGGCTGGGAACTGTATAGCTTAGGCTGGCTTCGAACTCAGTATGTAACCTGGGTTAGTTTGAAATGTTCAGTCCTTCTGCTTCCATTTCCCATGTCCTGGAACCAGCATACAGAGCTTAAAGCATATTCTTTTCATCCCAAGCAAAGTAAGAAAAATTTATTCTGCCCCCAAAGGCCCGTAACATCTGCCCTGAAATATGCATCTTGCTATGTGTTGTTTCTGTCATACGCCATGGCCTTTTTCAAATAGCACTTTGGGGCTCCTGGGGACCTATTGAGTCTTTTTAACTATGGAAGAAACCTGCTTTGGGAAAGGGTGCAAAGTGTTTAAAGCACTAGACCTGTAATTCTTGGCTGGGAAATCTAGAGACTAATGGGAGAATAAAAAAGAAAGAAGAAAATGAACGGAGGAAGGCAGGGAGGAAGGAAGGAAGAAAGTAAGGGAGGGAGGGGAGGGAGGAAGGAAAGGATAGAGTGAGAGAGGAAGGGAGGGAAGGAGGGAGGAAGGAAGGGAGGAGGAGGAGGAGGAGGAGGAGGAGAGAAAAAGAGAGAGGAGGGGAGAGAGAGAGAGAGAGAGAGAGAGAGAGAGAGAGAGAGAGAGAGAGAGAGAGTGGGATTTTGGGATGTTTGAAGGAAGGAAGGAAGGAAGGAAGGAAGGAAGGAAGGAAGGAAGGAATTGATTCATGCCATATAGCCCAGGCTGGAAGTCGTGGTGCTCCAGTCTTCGAGCTAGTGAGTGCTGGGACTACAGGCATTTGCTTCCAGGCCTAGCCTTGAAATTTGAGCCAAAAGGCCGCTTTTGTTGTTGTTGTTTTTGGTTTTGGGTTTTTTGAGACAGTTTCCCGGTAGCCCCAGCGGGCCTGAACTCGGTTTCGAGACCCCACTGTCCGCAGTCCCACAGAGATCTGCCTGTCTCTGCCTTCCGAGTGCAGAGAGTAAAGCCGTGTGCCACCATGCCTGGCCGCTTTTGTATTTTTGTCTTTCAACAAAAAGTAAACTATATAACTGTCAGTTCATAAATACCTGCTGGGTTTATATTTTGTGCTTGGCCGTGTGCTCTGCAATTGTATACGCAGTTCTGTGTTTAGTCTGTATACTGTGAGACTAGCCTTTCTATTAAAAAAAACAAGATTCATTTTTATTTTATGCATATGAATGTTTCCCTGAATGTAAATATGTGCACTACGTATGTGCCTGATGCCGGAGGGAGCCCAAATCATGTAAAACCAGTTACAGACTACTGTGAGTCACTATGTGGGCTGGGAACCTATCGAGGGTCCTCTGCCCGGAGCTGCCAGAGCTCTTAACTTATGAGACAACCGTTAGGTCCTTTCAGTTTCTGAATGTAGAAAAAACGTGTAATCATGCCACAAATGTCATCCAATGAGGGACAGACACGTGGAAGGGGAGAACCAATGGCTGACGGGTTTGTGAGGTGCCTAGCGTGCTTGGCGGTCTCTTTTAAGTCAAACCCCCCTCTCCCAGACTTCCTGCCGCCCAGTTTAAATTCTGTGTCCCTCCCACTGTCCTCCATGGTAGTAGCAACAGGGTTGAGTGACAGAACAGGATCCTCCTATTAGGGGGTGGGGAGAGGGGAAGTGACACCAGTGCGCAGCTGCAAAAGGGTCGTGTGCAGACCTACGTCATCAACAGGCCCTATATAAGTGCTTGCGCTCGGGCTTTCTGGCACATTCTGCCCGGATGGGCTGAGGTGTGGCGTTCCTCTGTGTTCGCCTCGGCTGGAATTTTGGCGTGGCGGTGTCTTCAGCAGGTATTGTGCTGCCCTCCATCTGCTCAGGGTAGCCTCCCGCAAAGACGTTTCCTGTTCTCGGCAATGTCCCAGGGGCGGTAGCTATAGGTTCCCCCTAAAAGGGGGATTCCCACTAGGGTAGATCTAGCACCCCAGGGTCTCTGCCATTTCTTTTTTTTTTTAATAGGTAGGTGCACCATTGTTGTGCAGCATCGGCAGATGTCAGAAAAGGGTGTGGGATTATTCCATTCCCTGATACTGGTGTTCCTGCGTCGGGGTACTGGGACCAAAACTTGGGTCCTCTGCAAGAGCAGCCAGGGCTATTAACTGCTGAGTCATCTCTGCAGCCCTGTCTCTGCCATTTATAAACACAGTCTTTCCCTTTCCTGGCTTTTGTGGCCTCGGCATGCTTCTACTGTCCAGTTGCAATCCATTTGGAATGTGGGATAGGGGATATAGCTGCTTTTGAATCCACCTGCAGAATTGGAATTGGCACAGCCTCTTCAGAGAGGGGCATTCGAAACAGACCATATTAAATATTCCTCTACCTTGCCTTGGACAGATCAGTGGAGCACAAACCAACACCCCTGAGCAAGGACCTGCCTGTCTGGATACAGCTAGAAGACAGCCAGCATCTAGCACCAGTGCCAGCAAAGTCACTGCATCTGCACTGTAGAGTACTATACAGCAGGCATCAAGGTGAGCAGTTGAGTTGGGAGCAGCCTCGAACACTGATAAAGAGCAGGTGCAGGGGCTTCATGGACTACAGGGTGGGGCCGTGGTCTACGTTTCTAGTTGTTGATTTGCTGCACTGTGAGATTGGAGGTCCTTTCTGGGTTCCCTTACTGCCTCTGATTCCAGATCCCATACAATTTGAAACTGTAAGCTTATTTTCTCAGCACATACTGCTCTTGTCACTCTTCTCTCTCCCAACCCTCTCCCAGTAGCTAGGATGCGTCATTGGTTGGAGGACCATGACATCAAGTGTTGCTCTTCTAGGGCCTTAACTGACCACATGGCGCACTCCTGTGACAGAACTTGTCCACACTGTTCTGTCCATGGCAGTGTCACACACGCTGAACGTGTCACGAACTCTCTACACCCACCACTCTGGTTACATTTTGCACAGCTGCTGGGCATTTCCTCTGAAAAAGAGCAGCTTCCTATCTGCTGCTGCTAGCCTTTGATCCAGCAAGGAAGGTGCTGGATTTAACACAGTGCCAAGGAGATGATGTTCTCATGCCCTTTCCTCCACTGGGCCTTTTTCAGTGTCCCCAGCAATCTGACTCTGCCTCCTGACATTGGCATTTTTACCACAGGTGCCTGCAGAATACAGAGTCCTGGACTTCCAAGAAGAACCATGCCACTGGAGGAGGTCAGCAGGATGGGATGAGGTTGGGGGAGCTTGTCATGGGAAGCTCCTCACAGAATGATTGTAGGAGCCCTGGAAAGCAAGACTGGATCTCTGAGGGGAGGGAAGATGGAAGGAAGTACTAATTACGTTCTTCATTCATTTGCATTTCAGGCTGTGGAAACCTGGGACACTGCTTCCTTTCTACGTGGCATTGGTCTAGAATCCTTTGAGTATTACTAAAACTCTGAGCTAATAAGCTTGCCCTACTGTTAGATCAGTCCATAGACACAGGGAACAATGGCTGTGGCACTCTTAGAGGATTGGTGCAAGGGGATGGACCTGGACCCCCAGAAAGCCCTGCTCATCGTGGGCATCCCTGTGCAGTGCAGTGAGACTGAGATAAAGGATTCTCTGAAAGCAGGCTTGTGTACCGTGTGTGCACACAAAGTGATAGGTAGAATGTTCAGGAGGGAAGACAAAGCTAAGGCAGTGTTAATTGAACTTACTGAACCTGTTGATTATACTGTGGTACCCAGTCATATACCAGGAAATGGGGGTCCCTGGGAAGTGGTGGTAAAACCCCGTCATCCAGATGATGAGTTTGTCAGTAAGCTGAACTGCTTTCTGAAAGATGAGGGGCGGAGAATGATAGATGTGTCCAGAGTCATGGGGTACAGCACTGTCCCCACAGAAGGAATGGAGCCACAGGACTCACACGAAGTCAAATCAGAAAGTGTGCAGATTCCAAAAGAGAGCATGTGGTACAGAAAACTCAAAGTGTTTTCTGGCAGTGCTTTCCCAGGCCCAGGAGAAGAGACCTTTGAAATCTGGATAGAGCATGTCACTGAGATGATGCGGTTATGGCAGGTGCCCGACAAGGAGAAGCAGAGACGTCTTCTAGAGAGTTTGCATGGCTCTGCATTGTCAATCATGCGAGCGCTGAAGGCCAGCAATGACTCCCTAACTGTGGAGCAGTGCCTGGAAGCCCTAAAACAGATCTTTGGGAGGAAGGAGGACTATAACATCTTACAGTCCAGGTTTCTTCAGTCTTCTCGGAAGCCCACAGAGAAGCTATCTGATTACTTGGTGCGCTTAGAGCCCCTACTTCAGGAAGTGGTGAAGCAAAGGCCATTGCCAGCACAAAATGCAGACATGATTCGTCTCAAGCATATCTTATCTCAGGTCTCCATGACCACTGCTCTGCAGGGCAAGCTGTTGATCTTAGATCAGCGAGGGTGCCCACCCACTTTTCTGGAATTAATGAAACTCACTCGAGATGAGGAGGACTGGGAGCAGCAGAAGCAGGTAGACAAGGAGGGGGCCTGTGAGATGCAGGTAGCAGCAGAGGTCAGTAGAGCAGATCAGGGTACGTGCCAGACACAGTCTACAAGAGAGATCAGCACCCAGACCATACAACAGGAAATGACTGCATCAGTGAAACGGAGGAGAGTGCAAAGGAGGCACAACCATGGGGAAGAAAAGCCTATGAAGGAAGCAGATTCTAGGGCTGAAAACAAACCTTGGGAGCAGAAACTCGAGGCTGTAGCAGGCTCAAAAGATCCAGGCACTCTTTACCCAGACAGGCAGCAGAGATATCTTGCTGAGGTGGTGGAGCAGCGCAGACAAACAGCAGGGGACATGAATGACAGAGAAACGCAAGGTAGCAAGGTGCAGGGGAAGGCACCTGACACTCCACTAGCTAAAAAAGGCGCTAAGACAGACCACATTCCACCCAGCTCAGTGTCTGCCCAGTGCAAACCACTTGGAGACTGTCAGAGTCAGGACTGGGGAACTACTGCAGCCAGAATAAAGGCTGAACCAGATTCGGGTTGGGACAAGTCAGAGGATGGTGAGGCTGGGGGTCCTGAGCCAGTGCCCACTGGCACTGAAGCCACAGGGGTCATGGAGGACCCTGCCGCAGGGTTGTCTTGGCCAGAGGAAACCAGTGACTGGAGGCTAGTGCTGCAAGGCAGGGAGATGGAGCCCCAGAGAGGAGGTCGCAGGGTCAAGCCAGTCTTCAGGATTATGTATACTGCTCTAGGGGAGCCCCACGAGGTCAGCACCCTTGAGCCCTTTCGAGAGTGAAAGCTGGGTCACTGCCAATGAAAGAGCAGGAGGAGGGCTCCGGCGGTGGCCGGGGGTAGTTTGTTCTGCTTTCTGTTGTCCAGGGCGGCTGGAGAACCCCAGAGAGCAAGCAGGGAGAGCCTGGTGAACACAGCACTGCCAAAGCTGGCCCGCGACCCTGCAGACTTGGGCGGGTGGCCTGGAAGCAACACTGAGGTGCCGTCCTGTCTGCCACTCACACCAGGAAGGTGGACTTCACGGAAGAGGCCGTCTCAGTGGTCCTGCTGACTGCCTGGCTCTCCCAGCACAGACAGCCCTCCCCTCCCTCTGTCCCCTTTGCCATCCTGGCACAGTCTTCCCCCTGCCCTGGGGAATCCCTTCCCTGTCAACCACATAGTGACCCAGCTGTCCAGTGAGTACCCACTCCCACACTTACCCCCAACCCATGGCTCCTGTACAAAGTTGTGAAGTGTGTGTTAACTTGAGCAGGTGGAGGCTTTGACTACCCAGTCAGCCACCTCCACACCCTGGCACATGTGTTGTGAGCTTCTGTGTCAGGCAAGGCTGTGCTCGCTTCTTTTCCACCCAGTGACTCCATTTCTTCAGCTTGGTGGGGTGTGCTCTGAATGTCCTGTGACTGCCTTGTGTATGCTATAATAAGGCAGGGCCACGCTACTGTGGGTGATTTCTTCAGCGCCTTCCTTAGAGCAAGTGGGTATTGCCAGAGATGATCTTCTTGGCAGGAGGCAGATCTGGGGTCCTCAGGATGGAAGATCATGGCAGAAAGCTCCACGGTGGTAGACAGAACCCTGGATGTGGAGAAGGGCAGGACCTGTGGTCTCCAGTAACCATGGGAAGTTTTTGTGTTATTCCTTTTCAATGGTTGTAGTACAAGTTTCTGTTCAATAAATTTCAGGAATGTTCCAGCTGTGTCCACCTCTGTTGGGTGTTGGGTGGAGGGCAACAGTGGTGGCTGGATTAACATGGGTGTACGTGCACATCAGGGCCCATAAGGGACTGTGGGGGTCTCCTGGGTGGGCAGGAGCCAGGCTACAGAATGCTGGATGGGCACAGAGTGCAGTGTCTGTTTTCCCAGGGCACCTAACCAGGAGCAGGAACAGAGTTCCTACGTAGAAAGGAGGGTACAGGACAGCAGTTAGGCCCCAGGATCCCTGGCAGTGCAGTGTGTGCTCAGGCACAGGGCATCCACACAGCAAACATGGTGAGGAGGGGATCCTAGAAGAAGTAGGGTGTGATGCCCCTGCAAATGCTGTGAAAGACTCAGAGGGTGGTGTTTGTCCACCCACCCTGTTCGGTCGACCCCTGCTAGCAAACGGTCAGGTCCGGTCTTCACTGAAGGATGTTTGGGGGCTGGGTGGACAGGGTGTTGGCCATGGGACAGAGGATGGGGCAGCTGGCCCCTTTGCAGGAGACCCTGCAGACTTGGGCCGCAGGAAAGAAGAGGGGAAAGGAGAGGCTCATCCCAAGCAGCCTGTCACAGCATTCTGCCCGTTCCTTGGTCAGAACGGTGCTGTACGTGCTGTGATCTCTGAGCAGGTATGACTGTGTTGTGTAACACACACTCTGCGGGTGAGTTCAGGTGTTGGTGTGCATGTCTGATAGTGAATGAATGCATGAGTGATGACCACTGAATTGGGGGGGGGTTACAGAGTGTATAAATGAGTGTGGTTTCAAATGTTGGGAGCCTGTGTCAGAATATCTCATTGAATGTGTGTCACAAGTATGTGAGTGCATATCGTTTAATGCATGTGAGAATGTGTGTGTCTGTGCATGAGACTGGGTGGAATCAGTGAGGCTGTGTCTTATCTGTACAGTTGTTTTGTGTATGTGTCATTGAATGCAAATACAAATGTGAGTATATCACTGAATGAATCACACTGTCATGTATGAGACCTCGTGAGGTAGTGTTTTGTAAGGTTAGTGGGTTATGACTTCTTAAACAGAGTTGAAGTAAGGTGCCAGGAGGCAGAGCCCGCCTCCCTCAAAAAAGCTCTGAGCAGTGGGATCTTCGTGGTCCCCAGCAAACCGACCCTACAGTGGGGCCCTCTGTCCCCTCCAGCCCTGCCTGACCTTGGCACAATCCAGTTTTCACAGCTCCTCCTACCCTTGGGTTTGGCTTCAAGCTGTCAGCAGGCTGCTCCCTGCCTGGAGAAGCCTATGAGCTGTGCTTGATGGACCGCAAGGGACAAGGCCTGGCTGGGGACCAGGCCGTGCCCACACCCTGGGCTCCTTTGCTTCAGAGTGGGCTGGGCCAGGTCAGGCCAGGCACCTGCCACCACTTTCCTGCATCTAAAGGTTGGGGTGAGGTCCCTTGACCCATGCTCCCCCAGATCCTCCTTTGCTTTGTATCTGGTTGTACACTGCCCTCTGAGTGTTCTCTCATTTGAAGCCCTCTTCATTTAGGGTGAAGCCCCTCCCAAGGGTACTATCATCCTGCAGACCCCATACCTTCCTCATGTACCCTGAAGTTGGCACCTTTATTGTAGGCACCCTGTCCCTGTACACAGAAGACAGTCCTAAGAGCTAAATGGCCAGGAAAATGGCTCAGCAGGTAAAAGTGCCCTCCTCCAAGCCTGACAACCTGAATTCAAGTCTCTGAACTCACATGATGGAAGGAGAGAACCAATTCCTGCAAATTGTCCTCTGACCTGACCATGCAGGCACACATGTTGGACACACACACACACACACACACACACACACACATATACACAAATATGTTTCTAAAATTAAGAATATCTTGGCTGCCTATACCTCTGTCTGCCCTGCAAACTCCCCTTGCTGCATATTGACCATGTTGGATTTCACTCCAGCCCTGGTATCCGGGAAAAGAGAAATACTTAGAGAATCCCTCCCATCCTTTGCTGTTCCAGAAAATGTCTTACTTAAGCAAAGAAGCATTTGTACAGATTGAACTGTATTTCCCTCCCCACTAAAATTATATGCTGAGGTTCTAACATTCAAAACCCCACTATATGCCTTATTTAGTGACAAGGTCTTCCAAGAGGTAATTAAGGTAAGATGCAATCATTAGAATGGGTCCTAATTCAGTGTGACATATTTTTACTAAAAAAGAAAATTATAGCTGGGTATTGTGGTGCACACTTGTAGTCCCAGCACTTGGGAGGCAGAGGCAGGCAGATCTCTGTGAGTTCAAGGCCAGCCTGGTCTACACAGTGAGTTCCAGGCCAGCTGGGGCTACAGGGAGACCCTGTCCCCAAAACACCAAAAAAAGAAAAAGAAAAGAAAAAATTATGACAGACACACCTGCACAAGGAATATGATGTGAAGAGACAGTTGGGACATGTTCTTTACTAACAGCCCTTTAGAAAAAAGTAATCTGACCACTGGCTGCTCTTGCAGAGGACCTGGGTTCAGTTCCCAGCACTCACATGGTGGCTAACAACCATCAGCAACTCAAGTTTCATTGCCCTCTTCTGACCTCCATGGGCATGGCACAATATGGATGCATTTACATACATGCAGGCAAAACACTCACACACACAAAAAAACTAAACTAATGAAATCTCCATAGTATGGTAGCCTAACAAGATCTGTATAATGGAAGAAACAGCTGACATGCTAAGGTGGGTAGGGGAAGTGTCACAGGGTCAAGATGAAGAGATAAAAGCATCAATAGATGCTGAGGGAGGGAGAATCAGTTTTCTACAGGTACTAGCTCCCTGAGAGGTTATCTGATCCCAAGGAGGAAGGTAGCTCTAAACACAAGAATAAATGAGCAACACTAAATGGACTCAGTGCAAGATATATAGATATACAGATGTGTGTGTGTATAAAAAGAAGAATGGAAGCATGATCCAGTAGGCAGAAAGAAGATCCCGACTGTCTAGGGCACTAGCCTTAAGGAACAGAAACAAGCATTCTTGCCTTCTGGTACACATCTAGAGAAATGGGTTCCAGTTTGTGCTGGGTTGTGTCTTTGAAGACAGCCTTTGGGAGATATATAGTCAGAAGGAATGTTAGGGAAGAAAAACACCTGTGGTATTTAAATAGGAAAAGTCAACTGAGAGAAAAGTATCTCATCTATTTTCAAAGCTAGCATTTAGGAGAAGAATTAGAGACCACCAGTAGTCTGTAATTAAAGGGCAACAGATTTAAATTTTTTAAATTATTCATTTGTGTGTGTGTGTGTGTGTGTGTGTGTGTGTGTGTGGTGCATGTGTGGTGCATGTGTGTGGAGGCCACAGGACAATCTTTGTGGATTCAGTTCTTTCATCTTACTGAGGAAGGGTTTCTCATTTCTGCTGTGCAGCATACTGCAGGCTCGCTGGACCGAACTTCCTGCCTATTCCGTTTCTGCCTCCCATCTCCCAATCTCAGCATAGGAGTGCTGGGATTTCATATGTATGCCTCTGTATCTGGCTTTTTACCTGGGTTCCTGGGATAGCTCTCAGGTTGTCATGCTAGTGTAGCAAGTGCTTTTACCTTCTGAGTCATCTTCCTAGCCCAGGGCAACAGATTTTTTTGTTCATTTATTTGTTGACAGGGTCTCCCTAGTCCCAGTGTACCTGGAACTCACTGTGGAGACCAGGCTGTCTTCCATCTCACAGAGATCTGCCTGCCTCTGCCTCTGTGTCTAAGTGCTGGGATTCAAGGCATGTGCCACCATGCCTGACATTCAGGGCCCTGTGGCTTATGTCCATAATCTCTGTACTCGGGAGGCAAAAGCAAGAGGATTGCCAGGAGTTCAAAGGCAGCCTGGGCTACAGAATGAGACTGTCTCAAAACAGCAACAACAATAACAACAAAAATGTATGTTCTCAAACCCAGGCTGTCCAGATAGAATACATTTGAAAAGTACCGAGCTCCTGGTCATTAGAAGCACAGTTGGGGGCTGGAGAGTTGCCTCAGGGGTTAAGAGTCCTGGCTGCCTGGAGTGGTGGCACATGCCTTTAATCCCAGCACTCAGGAGGCAGAGGCATTTGGATCTCTGTGAGTTCAAGGCCATTCTGGTCTACATAGTTGAGTTCTAGGCCAGCTGGGGCTACAGAGAGACCCTATGGGGGGGGTCCTGGCTGCTCTTGCAGAGGACCCAGGTTTGATTCCCAGCACCCACATGGCAGCTATCAACCATCTATAACTACAGTTCTAGCGGTTCCAACGCTTTCTTCTAACCTCCATAGGCATTGCACGACATGGATACACTTACATACATGCAAGGCAATACACTCATGCACATAAAGTAAAAATAATAAATATTTTTTAAAAAAGAAGTCGGGGGCTGGAGGGATGGCTTAGTGGTTGGGAGCACTGACTGCTCCTGCAGAGGACCCGGGTTTGATTCCCAGCACCCACATGGCAGCTACAAACCGTCCTTAACTCCAGTCCCAGGGGAATCTGATGCCCTCTTCTGACCTCTGCGGCATTGCACGACATGGGTGCACTCACATACATGCAGGCAATACACGCATACACATAAAATAAAAATAATAAAATATTTTTAAAAAAAGAAGCAGTGGATGAAGGTGACCATGAAGCCTGATGATCTGACTTTGATCCCCACAACCCACGTGGTAGAACTAATTCCCCTAAATTATCCTCTGACCTCCACATATGAACCATGACATATGCATTTGCAAGCACACACACACACACACACACACACACACACACACTAAAAATGTAAAAGAAAGTTAAAAAATAAGTGTACCATATGGACTAGGAATGAAAGGGAGGATGGACTCAAAAGAATATTCGTTATTAAGATTCACTGAGTCTAGAACTTCACATTTACTGAGCATGAAGAGTTTCTTGGTCTAGCTACATGTTTGCTTTTATTTTTGTTGTTGTTCAGGTTTGGTTTGGTTCTGTTCAGACAGGGTAGTGCAGACTGGCCTCACACTTTACAATCTTCCTCAATCTCCTGAATGCTAAGATTAAATGTGTGAGCTACTATGCCTGGCTTCTTGTAGAGAAAATGGATTCAGGTAAATCAAATGCCCAAATTAACAATTATTCCACTTAAAAAGGAAATCATGGGGCCAGAGAAATAGCTCAGTGAGTAAATGCACCTGCTACCAAGCGTGACAACATGAGTTAGATTCCCAGAGTTCACACTCCCAAAAGTTGTCCTCTGACCTCTACACACATACACACACACACATGTTTTAAAAAGGAAATCATAATACTGATGTGTAATATCTTAATATTTATTATAATTTGTATACATTAATGTGTATTAAGCAAGTATAATTAAAAACAGTAAGCAATTAAAAATTAAAAAATGCAGAATTTGGTGCCTTTTAAGGCATGAAAGTGACTTGTTCTGGATTCAAATCAGCACTTCCAAGCTGTCTTTGAGTGGTGTTGGTTCTAAAACTCCCCAAATGGAAGAATACAGCTCTAAGGCGGGGAAACAAGCCTGTCTGGGGCGTCTTTAGCTTGCATTCCATCTGTGGCCTGTACTGAGATGCCCAGGTAACACCTCTAATCAAAGGAGTGACTTACTTTTCCTTCCACTAATTCATTTGGCACCTATATGTTATTGCCTACTATGTGTCAAGTCCCATGCTGGACTTGAGGAAGACTAGCTCATAGTGTGGGAACATGGCAGATTGTACCACTTCCCCCCTTCAGAGTAAATCTAATTGACAGCTATGCAAATAAATAGAATGTTGTTCTCTGATCATTTGATAGGAAGAACAAGTCCACAAGCAAATGTGCACAGGGCTCAGGACCTGAAGAAAGATGGAGATATTCTATAAGTAAATCAAAAGAAAAGGTCTTTATTCTGAATCCAAAAATCTCTGGGGTTATTCTTCTTCTCAAGGAGCTTACAAATTAATGCTGAGTCCAAAGACTTGCAGCGTGGAGTTGAATGTGAGCACTATATCTACAAACTGCTGGAATGAGCCTGCATCTGCTCTGTCAGACATCAGGTTTTGGTGTTTTGATAACTGAGCCCCTAGTAGTTGATACTAGCTGGAGACCGAGTCCGGACTAGAGAACAGGTCACTGAAGCTGTATGCTCACGACAGCTAGCCTTTGCAGATTTCACTAAATGGCAAGCTCCTCTTTAGGAAGATGCACGAGTCAATTCTGTTCCTAGACAAAAACTTGTGTTTGGAGGTGTTTTCATGGCAAGGCCTTGGGGGAGAGGGAAATTTGCTTATGGAGCACTTCAGGGCGGGAACCCAAGACACCCAGCTATATAGTACAATTTCCTACATCTCCCTTTTCTAAGACTATGCCCCAATGGAGGCCCACAGGGCAGTGTTCCAAGGTAGGAATAGGTACCCTCCACACAGTGCTCGGCATGTGCTAAACACTAGGTCAGTGTCACTGTGGTCTCTGTTTCTGGAGAGAGTGATAGCCCCAGAGACAGACAACAGTGCTTCCGCAGGGTTCTTCTGAAGGCAAAGACCCTTCTTTGAGCCTCACTGTCATTTGTAAAATGAGGACAAGAATCTCTCATTATAAGATTGTTACAGAGATTAAAGTTATCACTTCATGATAATGCCTGGTGTGTGGTAAGGGCTCAAAAACTGTGATCTACTTTCTTCACTATCCTATTGGGTTCTACACATTCTAAAAGCAAGTTCAAAGGATTTCTATGTAAAGCTCAGGGAGCGCGCCACTGACAACAAAGACCTGAATCAGCTATCAAGATTCGAACAGACCCAGATATACCTTTGGTTAACAACTTACTAATGTCATACCTCATCAAATTTAAGCCTGGGTCAACTTCTCAATATATGTACCCACATACATCCTTGGAAAAACTCAAATACAGTGAAAGGAGGAGGGAGAGGAGGGGGAGGAGAATTAAAATGTGCTACATAACTCAATCCAAAACAACTACTTTAAAAACTGTATGAGAAATTATATATATATATAATAGATAAGCTAAACATCACCCTTTGCCAACCCTTAGCATTCAATGCCTGCAATTTACCCACCAGGGATCGTCAACAGTCTTCAGCTTGGCCCCTCATAAGTCTCAGGGCGTCTACACACACTGACGCCTACATTTCTGACTGTGTCTAATGATCCAGGCCATCTGTACTCACTAGAAAGCCAGCATGTCATGGGAAAGCTGAAGTGGATTCCTTTCTCCTGGGATAAAGGCTTTCAAGCCCAAACTGAGATCATGGATGTGAAGTGTTTTCTAAGCTATAAAAACTACATGTAAGTAATAATTGTAACATTAAGATACAATACTGGATGTAAGTATGTTTGTATGTTCAACCTAAGAAGGGTAAAAGTGGGTGGAATCAAAGGGAGAAAAATAAGGGAAGAGGAGCCAGCAATTTGGGGCAAATAGAGAGGTGAACTCAGCTGGGATTCATCAGCTTCTGCTCATTGTGGAGAAGCTAAAAGGAAATAGAATTCGCAATGAGACTGGAAGGGTGCATGCAATTCATCCATCAGCCAGGAGCCCTTGGGGTGGGTGACTGGAAGTGACTGGGAGGTGAATCTAATTCAAACACATTTCCTGGAAAGAAAGCAATTTCCTTGTAGCTGGGGAGAGGGACCCTGTTCTGTGTTCAGATATAGGGTAATTCCACTGGTTGTTGGCCCAGATGCTGCTTTACTAGGGGAGCCCCACGAGAGCAGCACCTCAAACACCTGTGTAAGTGAAAACTGGGTCTCTGGATCCAAAGACCCTGGGAGGCCACTGCCAGCCCAGGGGCAGTTTCTTCTCTTGCAGTCTGACAGGGCTGAGGGAGAAAGACACCAGTGCCTGAGAAGAGCCCCAGGCTGGGGCACCAGGTACCGTGGGGTGGGTGCCCTCAGCTGGCTTGGGAAGAAGTGGGTGTGCAGGGCAGCTTTTGTGTAAACAGGCGCTGCAAGAGCAGGAGGAGGGCTCGGTGGTGGTGGGGTAGTTTGTTCTGCTTTCTGTTGTCCAGGGCGGCTGGAGAACCCCAGAGAGCAAGCAGGGAGAGCCTGGTGAACACAGCACTGCCAAAGCTGGCCCGCGACCCTGCAGACTTGGGCGGGTGGCCTGGAAGCAACACTGAGGTGCCGTCCTGTCTGCCACTCACACCAGGAAGGTGGACTTCACGGAAGAGGCCGTCTCAGTGGTCCTGCTGACTGCCTGGCTCTCCCAGCACAGACAGCCCTCCCCTCCCTCTGTCCCCTTTGCCATCCTGAAGACAGGCTAGACTCTGCAGCTTTTTCGCTGGAACACTGCCTCCCTACCTTGTGGTACTTGCAAACAATGCTGGGGGTGCATCAAAAGAATACGGCAGAGTCCAGATTAGAATCTGAGACCTGAGATGATGTTCAGATTCTACCATAAACCAACTAGGTGTTTCTCCAGGCCTGTTCCCTTTCTACATATTTACTTCCAGTCACAAAACAGGCCCAATGGCATCCAAGGACTAGAGGACTCTGCTGAAAAAACAAGACCAAGAGAAATAGCAGGACCCTGAGGCGAAGCCCAGGTCAGAGCAGGACAAATTTTATCTTATTCAGTAAGCTTAATGGGGCTCTTCTCTGTTAGTCCTATGCGCTTCCAGCACCTGCACCCACCTAGAAGAGCTTCTCATAGCATTTCCCACAGTGGATGGTGTCTCGGTGAATGAAGATCTGATCCAGGAGATCACCCATCGGCTTACTGCAAATCCCACACTGAAAGAGAAAGCAAAGTGGAGGTCAACACTCAAAGCGGATGCTGTGCACTGATGTCACATTATGAACTTCTAAGGAGACAGAAAAACATGGCAAACACAGAAGCAAAACTTGACCTAGAAAGTAAGAAAGACCAAAAACCTCACAAAAACTAAGCTGGCAGGGGCTGGGGAGATGGGTAAGTCAGTAAAGTGCTTGCCATGTAAACACAAGGCCTAAATTTGATTCCCAGCATTCATGTAAAATCCAGGTGCAGCAGCACATGCCTGTAACTCCATCACTGGGGAGGACATAGGAGGATCTCTGGGGCTTGCTGGCCAGAACAGTGTAGCCAAATAGGTGAGCTCCATTTTGATAAGAGACCCTGTCTCAAAAATAAAAGCAATGTAGAGCTGGGCATAGTAGCGCATGCCTTTAATCTCAGCAGAGGCAGACAGATCTCTGTGAGATTTGAGATCCAGGCCAGCCTGGTCTACATAATGAGTTCCAGGTCAGCTGGGGCTACAGGGAGAGCCTGTCTCAAAAAAGACCAAAAAAAAAAAAAGTAATATAGAGAGCAATTAAGGAAGTCACCCAGTCATCCCCTGGCTTCCACACACAGACACACACACTCATGCCGGCAGGATGACCAACATCCTGGCTAGGGGCTCAAGTTTCACAATTTAGCCTGGGTTTAAACCATGACACTATTATTTATTAGCTGGCTGAAATGGGCAAGCTACTGAGACTTTCCCAGGTTCAGTTTCCTCACTTCTAAGCTAGGCAGCCTGGCAATCCTTGCTTTTCTAGGTAATGAGGAGAATGCAGGAAAGTGGTCCACGAAGAGCACTTAGTCTGAGGCCAAAGGTTAAAGGGTCAGCAAACAGCAGCAGTCATTGCCACTGGAGGGATGGGAGGGTGTTAATGACGACATTTAAGGTCCAGAGGCAGGTGATATTAATATCCCATTGAAGAGAAGGATGTCTTTGAAGCTCTGTCCCCCAACTTCCTGGCCTGTCCCCAGATATGTCAGAAGCAGACCTTACTAGCACTGGGAGTTGAGGTAGCCTGGCTAACAGTCTCAGATAAGAGAAGCCCAAGAATCTCCATGTGCCTGGACCTCGACACCTCCCCACGCCTTAGCTTGCAGGTTCTAGCTTCAAGCTGTCAGGGTGCTGGGAAGGACGAAGCTGCTTCAAGGCAACTCCAAGTCCCTTTACTCATTCTCGTCATCACCCTTCTGAGGACAGTCTCGCTAATTCTGCTTTCCCATTCTTTCTCCTGACACAGTTATTTCACACTGTGCATCAACTGTCCTTTGGTTTCCTATATAAAGCTTCTATCATTTCGGTTACTGTGCACTGCACTGGGACGTGTATTTAGGTGCCCGATGGTGGTGATCCATTATAGGATGCCACTTATGGGCACGGAGATGGTGAAAAGTAGCGATGGAGGCTTCATGAAGAGCAGCTGTGATGCTGTACCCATGGAAGCCCCCTCTTTTCTTCCTATTTTAACAATTCAATCTAGTTTTTCAAATGGTTTGGTGAGAAAAACCTATACAATTAAGGTTAGCGAAGAAATAACGGATATGAATGAGCCTAAGCAATGTGAGTGCTTTAGGGCAGCAAAAAGCAGCTGGGCAAGCTGGGGACGTGGCTTAGCGGTAGAGCACATGCACAGCAGCTATGAAGCCCTACTTGGAATCCCTAGTACCGAAAAGAATGCAGCTGGGTTATCTCTGGCTCTCATGCCACAACTTGGAACTGACACTCTCCATTCTGAGCAAGCCTGTGACCTTAGAGAAATAATACCACACTGTCCCGGGGAGGTGGCTCAGTGCGTGAAGCACTAGATATGCAAGCATCAGGACCCGAGTTTGGATTCCCCAGAAGTAAAACTGGACATGGCAGCACACACCTGTAATCTCAGCACTCCTACAGTGAGGTAGGAGGAGAGGAGAAACCCCACAAACTCACTGGGTGACAACTAGCCTTGTATACTCATGGCAAACAAGAGATCCCATCTCAAACAAGCTGGACAGTACGGATCAACACCTAAATTGCCCTCTGACCTCCACAAGTGTGCTGTGGCACTCATACACACGAATGTGCACACATATATCATACACAAAAATACACATACCACAAACAAACAAATGGAATGCCTCTCCAACCCGGCACTCATGTCCCAGGCATTCAGCTTACCCTCAAAGAATCCCCTAAACACAGCAGTTTTCTGCCCCAACTCCAACTGTCTGACAGTACTTCTTCCCTGTTCTGCCTCTGGTTTACCACCCTGAAAATAGCTTCCCTTGACCTCTAACTCCTGATTACCTGCCTTCACAAAGCCTCCTTAGAACTCGTGCTGTGGTATGACCATATGTGAGGTAATGACAGAAGTCTTTTATCCAGGCTTACAACCAAAAAGTGAATAGCTTGCTGATAATGTACACAAGCTCACTGAGCTGTGAGCTCCTCTTGTAACCTAAATATATTAATTCCTCATGACCCTTCCTTGCCCTGGATCTAGATAAGAATCTGAACTTTTACTTCTCCATTTCATGTTGAATATAGTGTTTCTTTCCTTCTTTCTTTTTTTTTTTTTTTTTTTTTTTTTTGAGACAGGGTTTCCTTGTAGCCCCAGCTGTCCTGGAACTCACTATGTAGACCTGGCTGTCCTGGAACTCACAAAGATCCGCCTGCCTCTGCTTCCCAGTGCTGGGATTAAAGGCGTGCACCACCACGCCCTGCTTAGTGCTTCAATCTTTAAAAAGGAGTGTGTCCTTGTTCTAGAGCACAGTTTAAGGAAAATTCTGAAGGAACAGGTTGTCAAGAGTTCAAGTCCACTCTTAAAATGGACTCAGGCTATTTATTTATTTATTTATTTATTTTTTGGTCTTTTTGAGACAAGGTCTCCCTGCCTAGCTGGCCTGGATTCGCTATGGAGACCAGGCTGGCCTCGAACTCACAGAGATCCACTTGCTTCTGCCTCCCGAGTGCTGGGATTAAAGGCATGCACCATCATGCCCAGCATCAGGCTATTTATTTTGAAATCAAGGTATAACTGTAATGTGGCATAAATGTTGCACATGGCACTGCAGAGATCTAGACTACTCTGTGCTTTATATGGGTGCTCTGTCATTAGGTACACAACTCAAAGCTCAGTCTTCTAGGACTTTTCATTGAGTCCACAAGTAAAAGAAAACAATGTGCTTTGTACTGACCAAGCAAACAGAAGCAATTGTTACAGAAAATCCCTCATTCTTCCATTATCCGATCTTGGATCCCTGCTGCAGGTGACCCACATTAGCTAGCCAGTACCTCAAGCAGCGTACCTAGACTCAAAATCTTCATACAGCTCCTTATCTCCAGCCCATTCCAGTCAGGGTTTGGTGTCTACCACACCACTGAACAGTTCCTAGTAAGACTACTGATAATTATCATGCTAAAAAATCCAGTGGTCACATCTCAGTTAATCTATTTGCCCTTTCAGCACCTGCTGACAGAGTGACCACTGCAGCTGTCTAGGGAAAGCATGCCACTTGTCTCCTGAGCACCACACTCTCCATGACTTCTCAGCGTCCACAGTCCTCTCCTTTCCAAGCTTTAAATGTTGCATATCCATAGGTCTCACCCCAGAGCCCTCCCTTCCACTGACTTGCACCTTAAGTGAGAACATCTTGTCTGTCCCATGGCTCACAGACACATGTATGCCCAGAAGACTCCAGCCCTGGCCTTTCCCTAGAGCCCAAAGTTAGACTTGGCATTACCCAAGGAATGTTCAGTGTCACCTGTGTCCAAACTTAAGCTCCTTCTGTCCTTCTCCTAGCAGTAAATAGTATGACATTCTTCCACCAAGTGGCTTAGACAACAAATCCTGGGATGCCCTTTGACTCCTCACCTTTTCCAGTATCCCACAACCTGCCAGCTGTTTGCAATCCAGTCGCCATCTTGCCATCACCATTGCCAACTTCCTCATCAAGCGACCGTTCTCTATAGCTTGCTCTATGGTGACAGACTCCTAACTCCCTTTTCTCATTCTTCCCATATGGGGGTAGATGGAATCTGTCTGAGTGTTGCGGAAGCAGAGCAACTGAGTAATGTAACTACCCAACTCTCCTTCTGACAAAGGCTGTATACCTAAGGCAATACGAGGGAAACAGACTGGCTTCTTCTAGCCATTAGAGACCCTTGGTTGTCACCAGCTGAGGTCCCTGATGCATACCAGGAACTGGAAGACAAAAGAAGAAGGACAGGCACTGCTGAGGGGAATAAGCATGAGAGAGGCAGTGCTTGAGTCCCAGTTCACCATACTGAACAGGGCTGTGTCCACAGGAGAGCTGACAATGAGGTTGATACAGCAGGGGCCTTGGGACCAGGATGAGGCTTAGGTGGCTTTGCCGAGGCCTATGGTGGGATACACAATCTTTACCAGGTGGGAGAGGCTCTGTTGGATCTGAGTGACTTAATACTGTCACATATACAGGGTTTGTAAAGTGGTAAAGCAATTGAGAGGGGAAGAGAAAAAGAAAAGGCAGACAAAAGGGGCCAGTCTGGGCTACTCAAAAGCAAACATAAAATCTGTGTCAAACTCAAGTTGCTAGGGAGGAAGTTGACAAAAGCCAAATTTAGTGGAAGGCATAAATGACAAAAGAGACACATGTAAAAAAGACTAAGCTTGTCCTAGGGGTGGACACGTATCCTCTCAGAGTAAGCTATGTGCATTTCTCTCCTGCAAGAAAGTATACTGAGGTTAGAAATGGGTTGCACAGCCTAGATCCTCTCAGTGGTAGGTGAGCCTGATGAGAGGTGAAGGCTCCGCCAGAGTATGAGTCTAGAGCCTGTCAGACATAGTAGCCAGCTCAGGCAGCAGGCCTGGAAGGCAGGCGCCTTACTTTATTTGCCCTGGTCTTACTCAAGCAGCTGGAGCAGACCCCGAAGAGCCTGTTGGATGTGTGGAGACACACAGTGGTTCTGTTGCAGTTTCTCAGGTCGAGGAAGCAAGACAGTTCACTAAGAATGAGTATGTACATATACAAGCAATGGAATCTTCTTCTACTGTATCAGATCCTACTAACTAGTTATTTAGCATCCCCTCAGCTGCTGAGTCCTGAGCTCAACTGACACTTGTTTGGAATGGTAGGTGTTAGGCCTTTAGGTATACAGCTTCCCTTTGTAAAAAGGTTTAGTTTCATAGCTGATATAATGCTAACTTCCGAGTTTTTTACAAACTTAGAAAAGCAACTGAAAGATGTATAAGCACACCTTAAGGTGCAAGGATGAAAAATCAGTTTACACAAGTGCAAGAGCCAGGCCAGTAGTGCAATTCCTTGGAATCTTGTAGCTGGGTAAGGCACGGGTGGTACTACTCAACAAGGTGACTGAGAAAACCCTACAACAGCCTTTACCTGTACACGTAAAACAATGGGTAAAGAGCACGAACAAAGGTATCCCACGTGGATGGGAAAAGATGCTCCCAGAACCCATTAACTTATTAAATGTAAATCCTAATGCCAGAAATGCTTTGCCTCGCTGTGAGTAGTTGGCTTGTATGCTGTCCAAAAAACAGTGTAAGTTATTGCCACTGCCCTTGGCTACCTACCAGAGCTAGGTGGTAAGATCCTATTGCTGAAGAGATTACACACTTTGGTTGCAGGACAAGGGAAAATTAGGCTGGGACAGAGATGGAAACACCCACCTTGCTGGCTAGCCTTCACAGTGCCAGCAGATGCTATGTAGGCTGCTGTTGGAAAACTGTCATCAACAGTCTGACCTGGGTGAAGATCCTGCTTGCCATATTATCAACATACCAGATAAGATATGTGAAATGGTGCAACCAACATCATTCTAATTGAATTAGGCCACTCCATGGAAGGAAATTCCTATCTGATACTGTAAGCCCCGACAAAGGTGGTGGTGGATGGTGGGGGGAGGCCATAGGCCCTATTACAGAAGCTACTGTTGTGTGATATGCCTGTCAATCCTTAGCCCTACGTTGGAGAAAATAATCATACGTGTGTATCACCCCTTCCAAGGCTCAGGGGACATCACAGAAGAGAGAATGGAAAGAATGTAAAAGTCAGAGAAATGACTGCAGTGGTGTGGAACTCTGTCCTCCTAGCAAGGTATGGCTGCTGCATCTGAAAATCAGATAATCTGTGATTACGTGCATGAGATCTTTACACGATTGGGCCCATCGGCAACCCCCCCCATGCCCCGGAGCTCAAGAGGCTGCTCATAAAAGGGCCATGAGTAGCTCACGAGTGCTTGGCAGGCATAACAGACTAGATGCATAAGACCCCTGTAGATATATTAATAGGGACGGGGGCTTATTTTTTGATCTTGTTGAGATGGTCTTCCTGTAGCCTCAGCTGGCCCAGAACTTGCTATGTAGACCAGACTGGCCTCAATCTCACAGGAATCTGCCTGCCTCTGCCTCCCAACAGTTGGGATTAAAAAAGTATGTGCCACCATGCCCAGCTTACTTCTTTTGGTCTAGGGAGGGGGTTTCTCTTTGGTAATGTAGCTATGTCATAAGTTGCTCATTTCGGTATCCCGCCCTGTGCTTCTGGAATTAACCCCAATTAAACTTGTTGATTTACCAGACTAGATTAGAATGGAATCATTTATTTGATCTGTTGTTGGTGCCCTGTATGGGATGCAAGGACATTTGTTTACATCTCTCCAGTAAAAGTTAAAGCAACACCCCTCATTCCTGCCATCCTACTCATGCCAGTTAGAACCAGCTATCAACACCCCTCATTCCTGCCATCCTACTCATGCCAGTTAGAACCAGCTATTTTTCTGCTCCCCTGCGGGGTCTTCAAACTACCGTTCCTCTGTTGGCCCTAGTCTATGCCAAGAACACCTCTTTTGCCCTCCCTTCTTGCATTAACCATTCATCTCCCTGTCCTGAAAAGCCTCTGAGATTATTCACACCTGTGCAAAGAAATCTACTATCCTCCACACTTCCACACTCACTAAACTCTATCAGATCTTTGCTCTGCACAGTATTTTCCCATCTTCCTTACCTTAAAGCAATGCTCATGGCAGCAGATGCCAAGGTGTTCAAGGGTTATCTTTGGACAATCTCGAATCTCACGACTGCAGTAAGTGCAGACTCCTTCAGTTATTCTACAAGATGGAAAAAAAGAACATAGAAGTCAGGCTGGTACCCAGCCTTCAGATATGATGCAGCAGATTTTCTGGTTTGACACATGCAGACCTAAGTTTGCTGTCAGTATTCATAGTCTGCTACTATGTTCTTTGGCCTGCAACAGGGACGACAGCCTATGCTAACCTGATTCTCCCAAACCAGTCATGACAGGCCTCTCTTGCATACCTGGGACCACTGACACCACCCTGTCCCCAGCCATTATCAGGCCCACTGTTTTTGGTCTGCACATGCAGTCTGCTCAGAACTCATGCTAAAGTTCTAGAAGATACTGCCTTCTGGGTCGAAAACCGCTTCTGTTCCAGGATCACTGCTTCTATTTCTGAGAAGGACCTGTTTTACTTCCTCAGAGAGGACCTGTTGAAAGTGTCACTTTCCTTTGATCCTGCAGGCTAAAATTAGGAGTTCTACCTTCCAAAGATTGTAGGCCTGATTCCAGCAGAAACTAGGGTGTCACTAGTGACCTGGGACTACTACAAGTCTCTTCCAGAACCCAGCACTGATGGCTTGGCCTTGCCACCCTGCCACCCAGACCTCACTCTCTGGACAGCAGAACTGCTTGAGATGCCTCTGTTCCACGCAACCCTGTTCCTCCCCTGTACACGGTCCCTACTGCTTCTTACTCGCTTTGTTCTTTGTGTTTACACATGGGTACTTGCATGTGAGAGCCCCTGTCCTTTCTCCACATCAGGGATTAATCACTAATGTTGGATTCTGGATTTTTAGTATTCGCACAAATGGGGAGGAATATCTCCAGGGTATTCACTCTGTCCTATCACTGGAATGGATGTGTCATCTCACTTGCTCCCACATAACTGAAAACTTCTCCGATAGCTCACTGACTTGCCTTCTATGATTTGCACATGCTTTGAGTATGTCCCCGAGGGGTCATGTGTTAGAAACTTGGTCCTCAGTGTCACAATATGACGTGTGGTAGGACCTTAAAGAGTTGGGACCCACTGTGAGGTGACTGGGTCACCGTGGATGCTGCGTTGGAAGAGATGAATGTAGTTCTTATAAGATCAGATTAGTTCCTCTGAAAATGGGAACTTAATAAGGAGCCTAGCATCCCCTTTTCCATAGCCAAACAGAGATTAGTGAATATGCTCTTGAACTTAACTACTATGAAATAAATAACTCTCTTGTTTTATAAAGTACCCAGCCTTGGGTGTTTTCTTGAAGCAGCATATAAGAGACTACAAAATCATCTCATGATATGATTCCCCAAGTGGTCTGTGGGTGCCCCAGATCAGCTATCTGGCTATTTATTTCTTTAGGCAAAATGGAAATGACTTCGGTAGCCCTGCCCATTCACATGCCCTTGTACATGTTTCCTCTGGTGGGGGTCTGATATGAGTCCCTTCACCTTAACTTTCTCTAGTCTAGCTGTGGTCTCTAAACGCAATCCACAGTAAGTTAAATTTTGTAATAAATGAGAACACATTTGGCAGATGAGAGATATCTGCAATCTGGAAGTAGTCAGGCCCTAGGATCATATCTGGCTGTGCTAGTAACTCCCTATAACTTACTCCATTTTTTCCACTGCAACCTGAGTAAATTCAGTTTCAAAGGCTCTTTTCTTTCCTATGCCAAGAAGTTCGAGATAGCACTTCTTTGTCCCTAAGACCATCCTGTGATGGCTGTCATCTAGTGACAACTTTCAAGACTGCTGGATGAAGTGCCCCATGCTCCTCGCCACTGTGCATTCTTAGTTCTGTCTTCAGATAGCACATCTTTTTCTTACACACCAATCTCTTTTGTACATGTTTTCTCTTCTGATATCTGTGCAGACGTGCAAGCCAATCAAGTGAACCATTAGGTTCTATTTGGAAGAGCCTGCTGACAACAACCTCCTTGGGCTTTCTTTCAGACACTGAGGCTTCCTTCTCAGAAGCCTTTTGTGTCTGCTCTTGGTTTCAACTAGGTTCACAGGCCTTAGTTGCTGCAAACGAGACATCTAATAAGGGTGGCATCACCTGATTCACTGTCCCACTGTGCATCAGATCTGCCAACAGATCAGAAGCTGCAAAGTAGCAGAGAAAGGACCCAGTGTGGATATATTTCTCTCTCTCTTTTGTTACTCTCCTCCCTCTCTCTCTTTTTCTCTCTCTCCTTTCCTCCTCTCCCTCTTCTCTTGTCTCCTTCATTTCCTTCCCTCTCTTTCAATCAGAAAGGAGACATACCTCTCAGAGGGCAGAGTGCCTTCATATGGGGATTTCTTCTCCATGTCAAATGAGTCTTCGGTGCTTCTGGTACTGCACAGAGTGTGATGGAGAAGAAGAAAGCACAACATGGGCCAGATCATTATCATAGTCTTGCATAGAGGAAGCTTTTCTCATTAGCCCTGTAGCCATAAGTAGAGACTATACTGTCAATCACTACTATGTTCCTAAATGTCCGTTGGTGACAGGGGCTTATGCAAAGGAAGCACAATTCCCTTGGTGATGGGCTTTTTCATGGCGCATGAGGAAGACAGCTGTGATTAGGGTGGGTGGCCAAGATTCATGAAGCTTGTATACCAGTGGGGCCCTCAGTTCCTCTAACCAAGAGAGAAAAAGGAGAGGAAACATTCCACAGGATAGCTGTGTGTCATTACAGAGCACAAGATTACAGATGCTTTCTGTAGGAATTGGCTACACAGTTAGGGTGAAAAGACCGCAAAGAAATGTAGCCAGTTTCTTGGCTAAAAGTCAAAATGTCCTTGGGCCTGTTAGCAACATACTCTGTTCCAAAGGCCAAAAATGTCAAAAGTATTTCAGAGCTTGCATCTAATCCTTAAAAGATTTTAGGGTTACCTCTTCAGAGGGGGGAATGTTGGAGGGGAGGGAGTGGGCATGGATTTGATCACAACACCTTATATGCATGTATGAAATTCTCAATAAAGTTTTTGTAAAAATTAAAAAAAAACTTTCATTTTCAATAATGCTTCATCTTATGATAAAAAAATGATATCTAAAAACACTGGCAGGGTGGGATACCCTGGAACATCCACAAATGGAACCACTGTTCCCCTGGGAACCGTGTGGTGACCCTGTAAGGTAGCTAGGAAAATACTGCTTGGAAGTTGAGCAACCTTCCCAAGATCATGCTCAGGTCAGGGTGAGTTACATTTTCAGGTCCTGATGTCTTGTCAGTATTAAACTTATTTGTAAGCTCGCTGGAAGGGAAAGCAATGCTCCCTGACCACTAAAGAAAAGTCTGCAAGATTTCCATGATAAATAACATTTTAAGTACTAAATTCCATTTTAAAATCAATTTACTTGTCACAATGTAAGAATTAAATTTAACCAATGCTAGGCTTAGGAGAAGGTAAACCAGGAAGGAGATGGTCATAAATCAGTCAAATGCTAAAGATGGCTCCGATGGATGCACTACGCATCACTGCTAATTCAAACCTCCCTGGTTTGAGATTAGCACTGATGAGTGAGACAGGTAACGGATGAGCTGGTATGTGGCAGGGGCTGCTAGTGTATCTAGTGTTTCTTTTGGGGGTTATGGAACATGTTTGAGAATTGGAAGTAGTTATGGTTACATTTGTGAACATACTCAAACCCGCTGGATTACATAACTTTAGGGTACATTTTAACTCAGCAAATCTACCATTGACAAAAAGCACCTTAAGGAATTACAGACAAAGAGACTGAGGTTCAGAGAGGTTGAGCATCTTTGGTCCAAATAACCTAACCAGTGGGTACTGAGCTGCAGCTTGGACTTAACCCTGATGCCCATGTTCATCACACATGCCCTAGCACAAGCCGACCTGGAAGTCCAGAAGTGTTTTCCTGAAATAAGGCCACATAATATTTCTCCCCTGCAATGAGAGAGTATGGCACAGAAACCGTTCCCTGAAGGAGCCTGTCTCAGTGTGTGCATGTAGAAGAGCACCGACTAGATAGAAAACCTGGAAATCCATAAATGGCATCCATCAGTGGACACCTGCGGCATTGCTTCATGCAACAGACAACTACCTGGCAGCTGCTCTTGCCTGGATGAGGCGGCAGGAATGCAGAAGGGCTACACTGGACCCAGCACAGGACTCTGACAAAAAAAGGGGCTGCTGCTCACTCTTACCTGCCACAGCGTGAAGACGCTGACTTCCCGGAAGACACGTCACTAGCATTCATGTACTCCTTCACGAAGACAATCCCTCTGCTGCGGGAGGAGCAGAGCAGAACAGGATGTAGATACCCCAGACCACAGGTGACTGGGCTTGACTGCAGGAGAAGTCAGTGCCCCAGCACCATTCGAAGGAAGCGCAGCAGCTCATGAGAAGGCTAGGGTAGAGGGGCTGATGGGCTCTACAAGCCAGGCTCCAAGGGCATCAGAGGACAGAGCTACTGACACCATTGTATGCTTGGGCTCAAATCTTAGCTCTTGGCTACAGACTGCCAGTCCTTTCCATGGAGACCACAAGCCCCGCCGCCCTCTGCCCAGACTTTGACACTTCACGCCACAGCTTTCCCTCTCTCCTCTGTGGCTGAGTCTTTCTGTCACTGTACCTACAACTAGAATGTCATCGAAGACTGAATCAGAGACTGCCAGCCCTTTCTGTGAAAAAGTCTCTACTTTACATATCGTTCCTTCCTTACCATTCTTCAAGTTCCAGGTGACTAAAAGTCACCTCATTCTGAAAAGGCCTCTGGAAATAATGGAAACAAAGTCTGCTTCCTGTAGGCTAACAAGGTAGACAAGAGTACAGGTGAGGCAGTGGCCACAAGAAGGGGACAGACATCAGCCTGATCACCCTCACTTTCAAGGGCCTTCCCTGGCACGTCTCCAAGGGATACTGGCAAAGCTCTACAGATGGCAGAGTCCTGCCATTGGCTGTACCCACTAGTATCCTACATGTGCTACCTCAGTTTGTATTGTGATGGGAAGAAGAGAATGCTCCAGAGCCATACACAGGCCTACCAACAGGTCTGGGGGCCTAAGACCTATACTGAAGAGACTAAGGACTATACTATCTACCCATTTGCTAGTGGACTACTGGGAGTTGGAGGACACATCACAGGGGAAGCAATATGTAACAAAACCTGAGTCATTTACCTCTAAGAAGGAAATAGGGAACCCAACCCCTGTTCCAGAGAACACCCCCAGGGGGCTATGTGTCCCTTCTTACGTGGTTGAGTTGGAGTCCAGTTCACTTGACGGGGCTGGAATATAAACGTGAGACTGTTCAGAGGCGGCAGCAACGGTAACAGTGACCATGCAGCTGGAGGGGCCTTTCACCCTGAAAGAACAGACAAAAGACTGAGCGTGCTTCCACTTTCTGAGTCACCTAGGGTTGTCTGGCTGCAAATCCCTTATTATTTACACTTGAAAACTTCTCAAAGATCCACGAATGAAACTTCTCACTCTATAGATGACAAAATCCAGGTAGGACAGGAAGAGACACAGCCTCTCTTGCAATAAGTAAAGAATGAGACTTCCATCCCCCAATATCCACTCTGAACTCCAGGCTGAAGCCTGGGGCCTTGGTGTTTGTAATTCGTTAATCAGACTACTGGGGTGTGACAATCAGAAGGGAACAGAAGGGGGAAAACTCAGCCCAGCCTGCTAGTTAAGAAATCAGGATTAACTCCCCCCCACCCCCACCTCAAACTCTCTGGAGAATACCAGGTAATGGGGTCAAGAAACAATGGATTCTGGCATTAAAGAAGAGGCAGGTCAGATACACCTCATCTTGCAAGGTACTGGTCACACCATGACTGCCATAGATGGCCCTGGTCCTGGATACCAACCTCCTGGGCAGTGCACAAAGCCTTTCTGTGGCCAGGCCCTTACTGACTCAGTATGCATATTCTGCTGACTAACAGTGCAGGCTCTGGGCTGACTGTGTGGATTCTAGTTTCTGTGAGGACTCTTCACTCTTAAAACGGTGAGCTCCAGATTCAATGGGAGACCCTGTCTCAAAAAATGAGGAGGGGCTGGGGAGAAGCCTCAGTGGCTAAAGGGCTTGTTTGCCATACAAGTGTAAGGACTAGCGTTTGGATCCCTCAAACCCATGTAGAAGCCAGCCAGATGTGGTAGCCACGTGTAATCCCAGCCCATGGGAAGCAGAAATGGAATTCCTGGGGCAGGCTGGATAGCTGGACTACTAAAAATCGGAGAACTCCGAGTTCAGCAAGTGATCCTGCCTCAATAAATAATGATTGAGGAAGACACCTGATGTCAATTTGGACCTTTACACATGTCACACATGTGCACCTAAACAGACACATGCACCCATGGCACATGAAAACACACACACACATTCCTATACACCACACATATACACATGCAAAAAAGAAATAAGGTGAATAGTATTGAAGATATCTGATGTCAACCTCTGGCCTTAACATGGATGCATGAGAAAGCACACCTGCATACACATGTGCATACCTGCATATATTACACACACACACACACACACACACACACACACACACACACACACACCAGGACAGCAGCAGCAGTAAAGTAGCAAGCAAAACAAATCCAAGGAGACTTCCTCAGGCCTGCAATAAAAACACCAAGAACCCCGAAGGCTTCATCCCTGGTGGTTCAGGAAACATCCCTTTTCCCTTTTAATAATGTCCTCTCTAGCCTACTGATGCCACAAGGCCCACCTCCTGTCATCTGCTCACCTCACTTCTTCCCCTCTAACCACATGGCCCATCTTTCAGGTCCTCTCCTTCCCGTTTCACCTAAGCTATTCCCTCTGCGCTGTTTGAGGCTCAGTAGAGGAGCCTTTGCAAAGCATCCTACTTACAACACTCTGCCTGGACTCCCTGTCATGGCACCAGATTTTTTTTTTCTTTTATCACAAACATAAAAACACTCTGCATATCTCTCTCGGTGACTAGCAGTGCAGGCTCTGGGCTCTGACTGAATTCTCATTCTGAGAACTCAGAGTCTTCGAAAGGCAAGAAGGGGGCGCACAACAGAGTGAAAATGAGGTCAGAAGGTGGGAAGCTAACCATGAAGCAGAGGAAAAAACAGAGCGATCCTAACTATAAGCAAGTGCTATCTCAGGTCAGCATCCTCCACTATACTCCTGCTAAGCTTCCCAGAACCCAAAGATGAATGTGGAATCCGAAACGTTCAGTAAGAGGGATGGAGATGAGTGTGACCTTGCAGGAACAGGGAGACAGTCATCAGTAGTGACCGTCTATCTTGCGCTCTATGCCATGCCATGCACTGTAAGATTCAACGCTGACCTTTAATGGACTTTTTAAAGGAGAATTGACAAAATATTTCAAGATGCTGGACAGTTATACTAGACTGCTTACTAAAACACTGTGAAAATTTCCAATACGAAAAAAATATTCTACGAGCAGCCCAGGTTTTCAAACCATGAACACCATGACTTGGTGGACAGGTTCTGCTCTTCTGAAGAGGCGTTAAAAAGCTGTCATTCTGGAGAGCTGAGCTGCTCCCAGGAAAGCACAATTTGAAACACTGTCAGCTTCCTGTTCCATGACCCTTGCTTGCCCAAGCCACTGCCACCAGCCAGTTTCAACCGCCACACAACCCTAGGTGAGCACTAGAGAGGTGAGTTAGTGACTCAGTGGTCCCTGCCTGGCCATCATGGTGGTGGTGGTAATAACAGCTCATCCAACTGGCAATACTCCCTTTCTCAGAGATCTTACAACTCCATGAATGGCAAAAGCACTCCTTCCCTTCCCTGAGCCCACGTCAGGCTTCAGCTGCTGGCTGGACAACACAGCTCTCCACGCCAGCCTTCATCTAACAGATACAACGCCATACCTCTACACTTGAGGTACTTGCTTCTGGCCTGCTTCCCTAGCCACTTATACTTGCAGAGGGAGGCAGGCCAGTTCAGTGGGATGCAGGTGCTCAGCCCTGACTGTGGTCCCTGACACCCAGACCAGGCAGCAGCGGGACAGTACAGGATGTTACCTGCTGGTACAGCCCTCCGGGTCCGTGAAGTGCTCAGATCCGCCGGTGGTGGTCTGCTGCTCTGGAGTGCTGGGATCTATAGGTTTCTCACAGGTTATGCCTGGGTCTCCCTGGCCACCTTCAGGGGCTCCAGGGGTCTCCTGCCAGGCTTTGATTATCTCCAGGGCCACATTGTTCTCCTTACAACCAGCTGAGGTGCTGAGGAAGAAGGAATATTGAGTGAATATTGTGTATATATTAATATTTTATTTATTTTTCTAATTTTATGTGTATGAGTGTATTGCCTGCTTGTATATAAGTGCATCCATGTCCTGCAACGCTTGCAAAGGTCAGAAGGCACTGGATCCCCTGGATCTGGAGTTACAGGGTTGTTAGCCACCATGTGGGTGCTGGGCATTGAACCTGGGTCCTCTGCAAGATCTGCCAGTGGTCTTAACTCCTGAGACATCTCTCCAGCGCCAAATATTGTATGTTTTATGTAGGGAGAGACAAGGGCATAGCCACGCCTTCCCTCTGCAGTCTGGGTGTCACTGCCCACCTAACCTGTAAGCAGGCAGTCTCCTAGAGGACCTCAACCTTATTACCCTTGTACTGAAAAAGGCAAATTCTACCTGATGAATTCAACAAACTATTAGAAAACAATCTTTAGGGCAGGAAACACACTGGTATGTCTGCTCCTCTACTCTCCCCGCTATTCTTTCGTTCTCCAGTCCTTTCTTGCTTCTAGCCTAGCTATTTGCCTCCTCTAAAAATACCTAAGCCATCCACCTTCTCCCCGCCCCACCGCACTAAGACCTGTGCACATGGCAAGGTCTGGCAAAAGCCTCGCAAACGGGGTATGGGGGAGACGCTGGGGGAAGTTTAAACGCAGGCTACAGTGGAGGCCTGAGAGGAGCTAGACGAAAGAGGCAGGCTGGTACCAGGGCTAGATTTTCAGACTGGATTCCCTGAAGAGGGGGAAGGGTCATAACAACTATTCCTTAGGCGGGACTCGGAGGAACTGCGGGCCCATCCATTTGTGGTGTTTGCGCGCCACCTTGCGGCCAATGCTGGAACAGCCTCAAGGAGAAGCCCCGCGGAAAGAGTTCTCTCCCCAGCCGCCATTTCACTGCTTTTGCACAGTAGCATTCCTCACCGTGCTCTGAGGCACTAGCTTGCAGTTGAAGGAAATGGCGGCGGGCGCAGGCGTACTTCGGCCTCGCAGGCCCAAACTCGGTGCTCGGTTGCCTAGGCGTCCGCGCAGGCGCTCTCCAGTGTAGTACGCCCACGTGTGTTGCAGCAGCTTTGTAGAATTCCCACTCCATTGCTCTTTTATCTACAGTCACAGCTATTATTGTGAACCAGTAACAGTCATCCTGGATTTCTTTTTCTTTTTGGGTCAGGCTTCTCTGTAGCCCAGGGTGGCCTTGAACTCACTATGTATCTGGAGATGGCTTTGAACTCCTGCCTCCACCTGCAGACTGCTGAAATTACAGGAGGAGTGTGCACTGTACCCAGCATTTCAACCTGCTTTTACAGATGAAAGTCTGGGTAACGGTCTGCTTTTAGACAATACCAGTCAGGACAGTACTCCATCCTATGTACTGCATCCCATCTGGCACGCAGGTTGGTCACATGACATGGCGGCCTTTAAACTTCTGGTGTCTAGGAATGATGGTGGTGTGCAAGCTGATGATTTAAATGCCCTGTTTAAATAAACTTCTCTTAAGTGTGTCACCTAACCCTTCCAGCAAACAACTTGCTGAGAACGCCTGTCTGCAGTCATTATAACCCCATTATATCAACACTCTAAGCTCTCACTGCTTCTCAAACCTCTTGTACTGAATGAGCTTCCGTCTTCAATACCGGACCCACATGTGGTCCCACAGTGCAGCTCCCATACCGTGTGACTCACTACAGCATCAGAGCTGGTGTCTATCCTGGTTCAACCAGAAGAGTCTACTCATCACATGTTTGGATGCCTTGGCAATGTCAGTGCCACAAAAGTTTCTAAGTGTTCTCAATTTCAGTACATATCCTACGTTGTCACAAGCCTGTGGGGGACAGGGTGGCTATTTATCATCTGGATTACCTTGCATAAATCTTTAGACATTTTTCCAACTCTGTCTAGGTGACCAGTACAGTTGGCCACGTCCCACACTAGCTGACCTCCTACTTCTCTAACCATTCCTCAGTCATCTTGTGTGTGTGTGTGTGTGTGTGTGTGTGTGTATGTGTGTGTGTGCTGTGTGTCTGTGCACACATGCATGCAGGTGCACTTGCACATGTGGCCATGTATGTGGAGGCCAGAGATATATTCCTCAGTCACTCTCCACCTTACTTTGGAGTGTAGGGTCTTTCACTGAACCTGGAACTCAGATTCGGCTGGACTGGCTTGCCAGTAAGCTCCGAGGATCAGCTTGTCTCTGTCTCACAATGTGGACCTAACAGATAGTCACAGATCACTAACCTGGTGAAAATATCAGTGTGCCATCGCCTAAAGCTTAGCATCGACTGTCCTCCACTTCTTTCCCGCTGGGTCACACCAACCAACCTGGCATGAAATAATGACTCTCTTATGGCATGACAAGTCCGCAGCCTATGTGAGCAGTCAGGTCAGCCATTGCGAAACACTAACAAACCAGGCATGGCAGCACACACCTTTAATTCCAGCACTTGGGAGGCAGAGGTAGGAAGATCTCTGTAAGTTTGAGGCTAGCCTGATATAGTGAGTTTAGTCTAGATAGTGAGTTTCAGGCCAACCAGGGCTCCATAGTGAGACCCTGTCTCAAAAAAATAACCATGCTAAACTAACAAGGCACTTTTTAAATGTACAATCCACTGTCACAACTCCACTTATCACTACCTGCCTCTCTGTTCCCCTGTGATGAAGACTTCTGATGGTCAACTTGATACCACCTAGAATCACTGTGAAGAGACGCTCAATGAGGGATTGTCCAGTCAGGTGTGTGGGCATGTCTGTGGGGGACTGTCTGGACTCCTTCACTGATGTGGGAAGACCCATCCTGAATGAGGGCAGCATCATTCCCTGGTCTGGGACTCTGGACTGTATGAGTAGAGAAAGCTTGCTGAGCACAAAGCATGCATGGACTCTCTCTGCTGTGGATTATGGATGTGATGTGATTATTTGCTTCAAGTTCCTGCCACCTGCCTCAACTTCCCTACAATAATGGACTGTAACCTGGAATTGCAAGTTAAAATTAATCCTCTCCCCTAAGCTACTTTTGTCAGGATATTTTATCATAGCAACAGAAATGAAATTAGGACAACCCCCCAGCTACTTAAGCCTCCTCTACTAGGACAGTGCATGCAATGGCTTTCCTCCTGGCACAGGAGAGACTTGCTACTCGGGCAATTAGAAGTCAACAATGCTTCTTCTGGAATACAAAATCTAAACAGTTGTGCACAAGGGGTCATACTCTGTACCCTTTCTGACAAGCTTAGTCTACTGAGACCATGTCAGTACCCAGTCTCAGAGACTACAAATAGGCTATACAGTGGGTCTGGAAAGGTGACTTGTCCACAACCACACCCCAGCATGCTGCAGGATTTGGAGCACCAAGAGGAAGAGAAGGCAGAGTGCTTCTTCCTGGGTCAGAAGTGCAGCACGGTGCCAAGGCAGTCCACCCAGACTCGGTGGGCCAGAGCGGCCAGCTGGAAGCCAGAGCCTGGCCTCTTGCATCACTATTGGCTCTCCTGTTTAAGCATATTACCTTGGCTCAGCATCTCCATGAACAAGACACTTGTTCAGTGAATTCCAGGCAGCTCGGTGGAAGGTTGGAGACATCATCTGAGACACTAGGAGTAGGGGTCACACAATCTGCCCAGTCATTTGACCTGGAAATGTGGCTCTCTGTACTCCTCCAAGTCTTACCCATGGTCCACTTCTGGGTCTGTTCTACCCATTTCCCTGTCTATCCATGGTTACTATCCTAGTCTAGGCACCCTAGGCACCATAACCTGTTCCATGGTACACCACTTTTTCCCTGCCTCTCCTCTGCTGACCTTTAGTCTGCTGTTCTTATCGGTGCCACAGAAACTATTTCAAGCATATCTCACCCCATCCCTTCCCATATTAGGACAGAGAAGTGTTTTTCCTACAACTTCCAAGAAGCCACACAAGGGTCATCCTGGCCTTCCGTGGACAGCTGTCTTAGGCCTCCTGTAGTAACATTTTTCTGCACACCATTTGTCCAACATCAATTCCATCACACCTTCTTATCATAAAGTGCAGCTGTATCTAAGTGTGGGGTACTCACTAAGCATACCATACCTGTTAACAGTCTGCAACACATAAATGCCATGTCTCCTAGCAAACCACGTATTTTTTGTCTTTTTGAGAGGGTTTCTGTAGTCCCAGCCTACCTGGAAGTCACTATGTGAGCCGGACTGGCCTCCAGCTCACAGAGATGCATCTGCCTCTGCCAGCTTAGGTACTTTGTTTTGTTTTTCAGAGTTTTATACATGAGTATTATATTTGCATTATTTCCACCCGTCCCAGTCCCCCCTAGTCCTCTGGTGCCACCTACAATTTCTTGTCCTCATTCATATATATATATATGTATATATATACATATATATGCAATATATATATGCAATATATGCAATATATATATATATTGCACTGAGTCCATTAGATACCCCTTTTTGCAAGCTTCCGTTGTGTCTCTGCAAACCTTCTGCACTGCCAAGGGTAAGAGGCCAGAAACCAAGTTATATTTGCCTGTCTCCCCAGTGCTCACTTAGCTTGGCACAGGATAGTCATTAAGTATAGCTTGGTTTAATTATGCGATCTGTAGCTCATTAATTTAATGAGAAAAATCAACACCTACATGGCTCTACTCGGACATTGCCCTGCTCCCTCACCGACAGTTGTCTCAGATACAAAGCCTTCTCTTTCCTGCTCACGGTTGTAAGACCACTGGCCCCACTGGCCTCACTGGCCTTACTGGCCTCACTGGCCCGTCTACCTCAAGTTTGTTCAGTTATTTTCAGAAGCAAACTCTTCTAACCTTATGTGTGGTGCATTTCCATCTAGCAAACGCTCCCCATCATCCTGTAGCCATGATCTTCCCCACAGCTGCCACTTCATAGTCACCTTTGTAGACAGCTGTGCTCCCCCCGCCTGTATCTCCTCAGCATCAACTCCCTTCTCAATGCGCTCGACACGAATCACATCCCTTCCACCAACATCACCTGGATTTCTGAAGGCGGTCGAATTAGATGGGCCAAATCATACGGAGTTAGGTCACTTTGGCTTGGTTTCCACAACTGCACTCTTTTGTTACTGATTCTTCCATTTATCCAAATATTTCCCCCTTGGCACCACCCCACAGGCCCTTCATTATTTCCTCCAGATTTCTGGCCTATCTGTTCTCGATTCTCAGTTTTACCACTGTAATGGTTAATCTTTATTTTCAACTTTATAGGAGTTAAAATCATGTAGAAGACACACCTCTGGGCATGTTTGTGATGGTATTCCACGAGAGATTTAATTGAAAAAGGTAGGCGCGGTGTGAATTTGGGTAGCAACGTTAGTTGGCATTCTGGACTGAATAGAAAGGGAAGAGGAGAAAGCAGCATTTGCCCTCCCGCACTTCCTGAGTGTGGATGACGAACTGAATGCCCTCAAACTGCGAGTCACCACTTAAGTTGCTTTCTACGGGTATTTTGTCACAGCGTTGAGCAGAGGAAACTATGGTAAGCCGTATGACCGCTTCGTATTCCTTTTTCCTATTTTGAATAAAAAACAGCAGAAATGGAGACACATGAACTGGTGAAGGTTTGGATGTACAGAGCAGAAGGAAGGCTCCCTCTACATCACTGTACCACCTGCAACTCGCCTTCCACACATGTTCTCTGCCAGTCCTTTCAACTGTTACCTGTAAGCTGACAGCTCCCAACTCTCTAGACAGAGGGCATCTCTTAACTCTAGCCTACTGGATTGACTTGTCACCTGGATTCCTTACAGGCACTTCAAATTCAACATGGTTGAGTGATCTTATCATATACCTGCACTGCATGTCCTCCACTTTCTCATCCTGCCTTAGTTCCTGTCTGCACCCACCCTGTGACCCCACCTAGGCATCTTGGCAGCAGTCATGGGCATCATCTTTTGCTCCTACTTCCTTTAATTAAAGTCAGCAGCACTTGTGGCCTTATCACTGCACCCTTGGACTGCGCCACAGCCTCCTTACTGACCTCCTGCTTTGCCTGCTGTACCTCCTGGACCGGACCCTCCGTCAGCTCACTGGCCACAGGCCTCTCCTATGTGAAAACCATCAGTGACCCTTGGGACACTCGGGGGGGCGGGTGCTCTGCACTCAGAATCTCAGAAGCCAATACCTGGACAGGCCCCTCTTGGTGCTCCCTGGAAGGTCACCGATTAAGTAGCCTTCCTTCACTGCAGCCTTTCTGACTGCAAGTTCACTCAGCATCTACCCTCTACCAACCTTCAGTTTCCTCAATACAGAATGCCTTCTCCAGGCCTCGTCTGTTCGGCAAAATGTGCCTCAGCATTCAAAGCCAGCTCCAACTTCACTCTGCTTGGATCAAAAGTCTTTGTAGACAGCACTACTACCTGCCTAAAAGAAAGAACCCATGACCTCTGGCATCTGTAGGCTGCACTTTTTAAACTGTCTTTTAAACTTTTTCATTGTGTGTATTCATTGTACGTGGTACTGTGCTATATGAGGACAACCCCAAATGAGGACTCTGCATATAGCCCCATCTATTCCATACCCCTCTCCCCCTTCTCCTAGACAGTCTCTTTTATTTTCATGCTGCGCACACGTGTGTGTGTGCTTTATTTTACAGACTTATTTTAAAATCTGTAAAGACTTATTTTAAAACAAGTGAGAGAAACATATCTGTCTTACAGTATGGCCCCTAATGGCACAGAACAAGGAGCACTATAGGAAACCACACAATGTAACAGAAAATCCTAAACTGCTCACTAAGAAGTGTCTTTCTTTGGACTAGGCCTGTACAGTGCGCGTAGGGCCAGGAGTCAAACATGCATTGAACAGTCTTATATAAGAAAACCTGTTATCTAATAGGTGATCCTAGACTAAAAATACTCTCCTACCCAACAGGCATTCACACAGTGGTATAAAAAGCCCCAAAACTCCGGGTGGGTGAGCAATTTTTATTCTTGCAATCGGAGTCACAGGTACCACATGCTCTCTATAGCAGCTTATCTACTCAACTCTGACTTCTCCTATCTCCTGAGCCAGAGAGTCTCGGCTCTCCTTAGCATTTCTGTTTTCTGGAAGATATCCTTTGCTTTGATCTGCATCCGTGGCTAATGATTTTGTTTGTAACCCTAAAGGTCATTGAGGAGCGCAAGCACTCTGCATTTAATGATCTGTGTTCATGTCCACAACTGTGTGGAAAAATGCAGTGTTGGGCTGCTGGGCTAAATGCTTTCTGAAGAGCCTTGAAAACATGGTCATAGCTCACAGCCACCTCCGGTCACCATCACACTAACCATCATTCAAACACCATCAGTCAGTCCTCGCCACTCTTTCCCTTGTTCCTCTCACCGTGGTGTTCTTCCTCCCTCCCTCCCCCTCTCCCTCCCGCTCCTTCATCCCTCTTCCTTCGCTCACAGTCTGTGTCACTTGTGGTCTCTCTCGTACTTTGGCAGCATGACTTTATAAATAAAAGTAGCCTAGGGCCCAACCTGCAATGCACATGAGTCTGGAAAACAGCCTTCCCTCCTGCCCCATGCACTGGGAACTGGCCAGGCTTCTTATACCCGAGATAGACACCTCCACTTAGCACAGCTCCCTTCCAGCTTCTTAAGTCTCAGAAAGTGGAGAGCACTGCTTCAGGCCCTGGAAATCAACCTTTTCAGGTGACTCAGAGAAGGAGCCCAAGCACCTGGCTGTTCCAGTGTGCCATAAAATGGCACAGAATGAAAGAAGCAGCTCCTACCTAGGTTGTGGCTCCTGACAGAAACCCTGGTCCCAGGCAGCAGGAGTCCAGTGAAAAACCTTACGTGCTGATACAGCCCTCCACTTGAATGAGCTCCTCAGGTCTTCTCTGCTCCCCTGGGGTGCTGGGATCTTCAGGTTGTTGCGTGGCTGCAGCTAGGTCATCTTTGTCACCTCTTGGGACTTCAGGTTTCTTGCCGCAAGCAGCTGAGGTGCTAAGGAAGAATGAATTCATATTGTCCTTGCTGTCCCTCTGTACTCTGGTTATCATTTCCCACAGGTATGGGGCAGGGCCTTCATTTCCACAGTGGAACAGAGAGGAGCCAGGCATGGCTGCTCCCTCGTCACTGAAAAGGGAAGTCTCCATGTATAATAAATGTAGCTCAAGCAGCACCTGAGCCAGCATGCAGGGAGGGTCTTCCCCAGTTTTTCTATACTTGTTTCCTGCTGGTTCTTCCCTGGTGTCACAGCATGTACTCTCCAAGGTGGGTGTCATGGGAAAGACAGGAGATGCTGCGACACGGCATTGCGCTAGATACCCCTTCCATCACCATTCCTGTCCCCAAGGACAAGGCACTGCTTCCAGGAACTACTAGGCCAGGGCAAAGACAAGGTCAGATTATTGAGAAGCTGAGCGTAGTATTCCACCGTTCAATCTTGACTAACCCTGAATTCAGTTTTCAACCATCATCAGCCTGCCTCCAGGAGCTAATGGGGGCTCCCCCAAGTCAAGAACACACTACCAATGACTACCATTGCAAGGACGCTTATGAAAGCTAAGCCCATAGCATAGGCAGGCTCTAAGCTGCTGTAACAAAGGGAGTGGTGGCCATGTTTTTCAGTGACTGTGTCTCTAAGGCATTTTAATTCTTCAGTCTCAGCAATGAAAAGAAACCAACTGCCACATCCAGCTGTAACAGAGGCTGTCCTTGCCAAATGGTAAATAGAGGCAAGATTCTCCACAAGGAGCAGCTTGGGGTCCCTGGAAACACAGGGACATCCCAGGCCTTGGGGCAGGGCCAGTACCACTTTAACAGCTGGTATCCATGGAGATCATGAAAAGGAAATACTGGGCAAACATTGACAAAAAGCCTTGCTGAGCAATGTAACATCCTGGTGGTGGTTAGAGATAAAAAGTTACAGAAATGGTGTCTACCAAGGAAGCCTTGCATTTCAGATTTGTTGGATTCTCTGAAGCCTTCAGTGAATCTGGTAGCCAATTCATGACACAAGCATTCTGAAGAATTCCAAGGTCACGCCACTGGTTGACAACAGCTGCTAGCAGTGAGTAAATGTGCCTCGATTTCACCTGCTTCTCATAATGACTATAAACGAGAAATGAAAACCCATACTTGCAATGTAATAGAGGAAAAACAACCTGTTTTAGGTGTAGGATCTGATTTAATAGAATTCAAAAGGGAGGTGAGGCAGTGTGCTATCAAATGAATGAAAGAGTGAATAAATGAGTGAGTGAATGAATGAATGAATGAATGAATGAATGAATGAATAGAACCAGCAAAGAGGAGCAGAGTATCCTTGAATAGCTTCAAGTAAAGGAACTATTTTTCTCGAGCTACCTCATTCGGATTGAAGACTTTAAAAAAATCACCATTTAACACTTTGTGCCAAAATGTATTCTGTGCATTACATACATAAAGCCATTTAACCCTTTTAAAACTCTGTATGGCATACTTAGAGGCCCATACTAATCTGGTCAGAGGGACTTAAAGGACAGTTTTTGTCCCTTGCCCTCCAAGATTGACTAAGTTCCAGGAGACTGTGGAGCCTCTCCCAAAATGTTCTGTAACTGTGGTGAGTCACCTGTCCTCTTGTTCAGACAGGCCATGGAGACCCCACCAGATGGACTTGAACCAGTGTCCAGTCTACAACGGGGAGGGTCACTACAGAGGAAACATTTCCTCCACGCTTCCAAGTGAAGCCAGCTGTGGTCGAGCAGGACCTTTTACTGACCATCACATAGATGGAACTGGTAAAAGAAAGGAGCCAGGGGCTCCATGTAACCCCTGAGGAACAGGTCCTCAAATGACCTTAAGAGTAAAAATAAATTGGTTTATTTGGCCCAACTGTATGGTCTTAAACACCCAAAAGGAAAGTATAACCAAAGAGTAAAGTCATCAGTATACTTCTTTAAGAGTTCACGGGATCACACTTCTTGGAAATTAGGCTTATGTACATCTAAAATGTGACCTAGACAATTATTTCTCATTGATGATTTTGTTTCTAAGCAGAAAGGGGTGCTCAGATGTAACACTTCAAATCTTAGTCTGCAATACTGTAGTGTCCACCTGTAGCTAAGGGAGACAACCCACTATTCTAAAATTATGGCTAAATTTGTTTTCTCCCCCTATCTAGAAGCCTTTGAGAGGGAACTGACACTGATTCTAACCACTCCAACAGTTATCAAAGTGCCTGAAAACAAATCCTGAGTCCATCACTCTCGAGTCCAGCCTTGGCAGAGAAAAGAAAAATGAGGAGAAACCCAATAAATGGATGCTTTTGGAAGCCCTTCTTAAGAAATTTCAATGGCCTCTCATATGAACACTTGAAATTTGCCCTGTTCTGACCCTAGTCATGATTCAAGGACTTTCTTTTCCCCCTAGAGATAAGAGTTATGCAATTTGGGAGTCTTTTACATAGACCCACTGAAGGGGATACCCCAATTGCCTCACCCTGCATCCCTTTCCAGTATGGAAGAAGCCAGAGTGGTGTGCGTCCCTATTCCCTATCAGTAATTTGGATAACATCTTCAGGGGATGGTGTGATAAGAATAGGAGGTAGGAATTGGCTAGGCAGTTAGGGTATAAAGACCCAAAAGAAAAGTAGCCAGTCTTTTGGCTAAAAGTCACAATGTCCTTGGGCCTCTTAGCAACATACTCTGCTCCAAAGCCCAAAAATATCAAAAGTTTTTGAGAGCTCTTATCTAATCCCTAAAAGATTTTAGGGTTACCTCTTCAGAGGGGGAAATGTTAGAATAGCAAAAAGGCCCCCCCCCAAAAAAAAAAAAAAGAAAAAATACAGGAAGTTGTTCAGGAAAAAACGATGGGGAGATGATATGGGAGGAGCTGGAGGGGAGGGAGTGGGTGTGGATTTCATCAAAACACCTTATATGTATGTATGAAATTCTCAATTTTTTTAAAAGTTAAAAAAAATTAAGGATTCCTAATGTGGGGCTGGGAATGTAGTTCAGTTGGTGGAGGGTTTATCTGGCATGCACAAGAATTTAGATTCAATCCCTAGCATCATGTGAAAATATGTGGAGGCACATGCCTGAAATCCCAGCACTCAGGAGGTAGACGGAGGATCAGAAATTCAAGGCTATCCTGCTACATGAGACCCTATCTCAAACAAGGGGGGCGGATTTGTAATGTGCATTAAATAAATCGAACAAAACTAAAAAAAGGGAAAAAAAGAAAAAAAATTTGTATGGCAGAAGCCATTATTACCATTATTGTTCATATTAAGAAAAAGGAATACAGGCATTCAGTAACATGTTCAAGTACGTCGCCTTTCCCTGTGTGTGTGAGATGGAGCAGGAAAGAGAATCCCTGGGGCAGTTTGTAAACTGGGCAAAGTGGGCGGCGGATGCCACGGCCACCGCAACCCCACTGCCCCAGTCCCGCTTATCCCGGGAAGTGTGAATTCGCGGGGCACAGCGCCCAGGCTGGCAGGCCCCGTCCCCTCCCGTTCCCCCCGCCCCGCCCCCGGCGGTTCCGGGTGGGCTTCGCGGTCCCCGCCGCAGACGAGGCCACCGGTAGGAGGCGGGACGGCCAAGCACGCCCAGGGACGGGTAGGGGGTGTGGAGGGGGTGGGGGTGTGGACCG